AAGAAAGATGAAACCACCCTTATCTTAAGGCTGATATACTAACAAGAAAGGAGGCAAGAATATTTTCAGAGGAAAGCCAACAGTATCACACAATCAATGAGCCCCATTTTATACTTAGATCTCCATTAAAAAACTGAACCATTCCATCCAAGACTTGGAAGGGAAGATACCTTGTCAAAGTTATTGTCTAAGTAATCAAAGAGTTTAAGTAACCTCTTTGGAACTCTGTAGAAAGTTAATTCAGAATACATACACTTGAATGTGTTTGAACGTATTTGTCCTGAGGTTGTTCTAAGATTATTATTTTAAGTGGCATGCAGATTCTTTGGGGGGGTTGATCTTGTAGTGGAGGTATGTAAAGTAACATTTCTTCCACCTGGTTGCCACAGGATGGACATGAAATTACTCTTCTTCAAGGTTTTGCCACTGGGAGAGGTAAGAAAAACTGCTCTCGACCCCTATTCCCCCCAACCAGGAAGAGACTGAGCCCTGGGTTATAGCACAGGTAGATATTAAAATGGAGACAGAGCCGTTATTTAGTGGTGACAGGAATATAAATACGTGCACTAACCTATAAACTGGTATTTACTTCAGGAAGGTAAGTAATATTTTTCCTTTGATTGCTGAGTTGTCAGTTTAATGCAGCGTAAATAAACAGTAGGTGCCTGCTAGCTCGAAGTAGGAAGTGCTCATTCCACACAAGGAACAGATTACTGAAGCCTGGTGCTCATCACGCTAGAACATAACTTTCATTTTACCAGAAAATACACCCTACCGTGGATGATTCTTCGTGGCTGATCTATTAATTAACTTAACTCTGTTCTGTCAAAACGTAAACCGATTTGTTAAAATCATCCCAGAGTTTGGGAGTTTGAAAAGCAAATCAATTTGAAAAGCAAGAGTAGTGACTGTTCTGTAATCTGATCACAAATGCTAAAACTGAATACTTAACAGAATAAGCAATAACTGTACAAAAAAACAAAAAAAGGAAGAGAACAAATTTAAATATAGAATTAAATCATCTGAGGTACAGAATTAACTCAAAATCTTCCTTCTTTGCTAATAAAAAGCAACTGGCACCTTCACTTCTCTGCAACCTCCTGCTACTTAGGTCCATTCAGCATGTATGCTTGTTCTGCCCTCTGAAATATCTAAAGGTAAGCCATTCATAAAAATCCAATCACACTCCTTAATTCTAACAGAAACATTACTGAGCTCTCCTGAAAAGAGTGGCAAGTTTGGAGATCAAATAGCAATACCCTTTCTAATAGTGTTCATATAATATGTGGTTTTCTTCCCATTTTCTATATACCACAAAGCTATGACAGTATATAGTAACTAATTTTCTCATCATATACAAGTACTGAGCAAATTATTTCATGGCATCATTTAAAATGGGAACTGGACTGAAAAAGTATACAAGTCAATTTGGAGAGGTCTCTCTAGTTAAAACATGAACACATTTTGATAATTAAGCAATGAATTATAAAGGAAAAAGAGAGGTTTAAAAGTATTGTGGCATTTGACTACAACATTTCTAGCATGGTCTGAAAATTGATTGAGTGACATGTATTTATTTTATATACTTCATCAATCTCACCTACTAATGTAAGAGTCAACCAGGATCACACATCTTGAAAGAAATGATGGGTGTGTGTAAAAGGCGTATCTATGTATGGGCCTTTTGGAAATTTACAGCGCAGATGAAAAACCACTGGAGTGCTTTATAGAGTCCCTACTGTATATCCATGTGGTGTTTAGCTTAATAGTGTTTGTAACCACAAGATTTTTACAATAATGAGGAGCAGGTGCCTGTTGCCTGACCTTTTAGGCCTAATTTACAATCCACAACCTGTCACATGGAAAAATAATTCAAAATCTCCTCCAGATAGTTCAGTCTTTGCTAATGTCATGTAGTTCTTCTTAACCATCACTCAGCATATCATATCTTATTCAGTCGCAGGTTCATATAGCTGGCAACAGACTTCTTTGCAGAAATACGCCATTATTCATTTTGCTGTTGTTTTTCTTTAAGATGCTGGGGGACTAAAGAACTACTTTTGTAGAGTATCAACCATGAATATATTAATTTAAACAACAGCTGAACAAAAAGCATTCCTTTTGAATACTTTTACATACAAAGAACTATTATTTATTACATATTTCAGCTTGTGGGAAAAGGAGGAATGCATTGATTCTGGAAATAACTATTCAGACTTTGGGAAGTTCTTTAGGTTTTCTTTATCTCTTTTTTGCCCCTTCTCCTTCTTCCCTCTGACCCCCCCCACACATACATGTCAAAGCACTAGTACTTTAGGAGGGAAATTTATCCATTATTTGTATTCATTATTCATAAAGGAATACAAAATTGAGCAGTAATTTTTATTTCTCTTGTACAGTCACCTTACATGTAGCCATACTCAAATTTTCCAGTGCCTTGTATTTTATAGCTACTGTTTACACATTATGTATTACATATGACTGAACAACTCTACACTTAAAATATTGTTTCCATTAGAAAAAAATATTAAGTAATAAGTGTCAAATGGAGATGAAGAGTAAAGATGCTTGGTGTGTTTATAAAATGCACAGTCATTTAAAACGTGCACAAATACTATACATACTCTACTACTGTTACATAGTATGCACGCTGTTTAAGGTATATTTAATAATGTGCCTAACCATGTTAATTAAAGTATTTATGTCTGGTGATTGTGTTAAACACTCCTAGAGGTAGTCAAAGATACAGCCAGTCACTTCTGCAAACTAAAGTTGAAATTATGCACTTATTATAACCTCTTCTAACAATGTGAGAAAAACAGAGTAAATATATTAAATTTGTTTCACAACAGATGCTTAGGTTGTTAATATTTAAGATGCCTATTCATGCTATTCCTGTCTGCACATTTGTCAAAAATGTAAGCTTGAATGCTAATGTTTGCCAGCAGACTGGGGCAGCCAGTATATGAATGTACTACTGTTCTACTAAAATAATATGCAATAGAAATAAAAAACTGCTGCTAAATCATAGCACTAGTACCACATAGCAGATTAAAGGTTTGTTGAGAAAACACTTCAACCTTGGTTTTCTCCAGTTTTAAAGCCTGCGGATTTTTTTTCCCCAAACACATTTGACTATAGAATAAATCTTACATTCTTGACACCTCAGAAAAATCCACTTCAGTTAGGGCGTAAATTTCAATAAAGTTTCGGCGGGATGAGGGACTCCATCAGCAGCACAGACACTGCAGAGTTTAGGGACTGCTGTGGACAAACGCTGACACTGAGCAGCCGCGTTTTACTCACTCTTACCCCCTCCTCTGTCCTCTTGGTAAAGTCAGGTGGCATGGCCTCCAAGGATGCAAGCATGGAACCCAGTCTGGGCAGAAAGGTTCTGCCCTGAAAACTGGACGCCGTTCTGTTTTCCCTGTGTCTTTTACAACCACGCGGAGTCCAAATCTTAAAACATGTGCCTGGAAGTCCGGAATGCCGCTGAAAAAGTTCACCGAGGAGGGGCACAGAGGTCAAAGTTGCCAACTAGGACAGTTTGAGAGGCTATGCTGTGGTTGACACTTGTAAGTGAAATTTGCAACGCCCCAGTGGAGGTCCGGGCCAAAACCTCCAGCAAGAGCCCTAAGTCCCTCTCGGTCTTCGGCAATCATCTCGAGAGTCCTGCTCAGTGAATTTCCCTGGTACGTGCGTGTCACCGCTCGGACCTGCCACCTGCCTGCACTGTCCCTCCCCCGGCGCTTGCCCAAACCGATGCTCCGCCGCCCGAGAGCCTCGGCAAGGAGCGCTCGGAGAAGGCCGCCCGGCTCGGGTCGGGGCCGCAGGGAGGAGACCCCCAAGGCCACTCCCGTGACGTCTCCGTCCTTGCAAAGAGGGCAGCACCTCTCCCGGCCTCCACCCCATCTCCAAACTCAAATTCAATCCGGTAGCCCCTTCGGGACCCGTCTCACTACAGCCAGCAAGGGCTGGAAACGCGGTGTTTCGCGGCTTTCAAACTCCCGGCGCCCGAGTGGTTCCCGGGCTGGAGAAGTTGCCAAAACTTCTCAGGTCCCCGTCCGCAGCCGCTCCCAACCTGCCGCACGGGCGGGGGCGGAGGCGGGCGGAGAAGGACCGGGCGAGGATGCTGAGCTCGCTCGCGGTCCCGCGGGGGAACGTTTCCACTCCCCCGGCGACTCCGCGGGGCACCTTCCTGCCAGCCCGGCTCCGGGACGCACAGAGAGGCTCTCCCTTTGCCTGCACGCTCCCTCCGGTCTCTTCGCCTCCCCTTTTCTCTTCCAAAAGGGGTCACGCTGACGACCTGAAGGAGTTTGTTCAGTCAGGGTCTGCCGGGCAGGTGTGTTAGTGTGTCCACACCCTGAGAGGGAACGAATGGCATCTTCGAGTCCCCCATCCCGCGTGCTCTCCCTCACTCCACCGGCCCACCCCTCCGGATCCCGCTGCGCTCGCGCGGCAAGGGGGTCCGCAGACCCCTGCCCACGGGCACCCACGGGAGGGGAGCCGAGCAGCCCCAACGCGGGGCGCCGGGAGTGGGTGTTGGAGAGAAGTTTGGATCGATTCCGAAAAAAGGAGAGAGACGGAGATAAAACAGCAAGAGTGAGAGGGGGGAGAGCAAAGGAGCAGAACTCACTCAGGCATGGGCGCGGGGAGCGGCGGTGGCTGTCGGCTGCGGGCCGGAGCCCGGGAACGGCTCCCACGGCGGGCGCGGCGGCGTCGGACTTCCGAGGCGGCGGCTGGTGCCTCTCGTGCCGCCGCCGCCGGAGCTGCGGCTGCCGCGGAAGTTAATTGCAACTTGACTTCAAGTTGTCTTCTTTCCCCATCCGAAGTGGGCGTTTAAAGGGGAGAGAGAGGCGAGGAGCGAGCTAGCGAGCGCGCGGGGCCGAGGGAAGGAAGGGAAGGGGGGAGGGAGGAGATGTTAACGGGGGGGGGAGGGGGCGGGGGCGGGAGGGGGAAGGGGCCGGCGGGAGCTGCTCTCGGCCCCGCGGTCGCCGCGCCCGCAGTCAGGAGGCGCACCGGAGCGGCCGGGCGCCCCCCACGGGAGCCCGCAGCCGCCCGCGGCGCGCATCCAGCTGCGGCTCCTCCGGCCGGGCGCGCTGTGCCCCGGGGCTCCGCGGACCCTGCGTCGCCGCCCGCTTCGGAGCTTCTGCGGCGCGGGATGGCCGGCGGGGCGGCGAGGGCCCTGCCCGCCTCCCCTGCGCCCGCCCCGGCTTCTCCCCCTGGCGGTGGAGCCTCGGCGGCCGCCGGCACCACTAGGCGCGCTGGAGCCCGAGCCGAGCCGAGCCCGAGCCGCCGCCGCCGCCGCGCGCCGCGCGTAGGCTCCCTCCCAGCGCGCCGGCTGGGGTGTCGGGGGGCGGCGGGCTGGAGGGACGGGGGCGGGCGAGGGGCGCGTACCGGGATTGGCGCCGAAGACCGGACCCTCCGCCGCGAGGGGTAAGTGTGGGCGCCTTGGAGTGCGCTTGGGGGTGTGCGGCGCAGTTCTCGATGCCCGCCAACCCTACCCCCTCACCTCTCCGGGGCCCCCACCTCCCGCACCCCTCCTTTTGCCGCCTGCGGCTTCCTCTTGTTGTTCGTTGTTTGGCTCGGCTTTTTTTTTTTTTTTTTTTGAGAGGGGGAGCAAGGGGTGATTGCGGTGTGTGCCAGCGGAGGAGGAAGTCAGGTGAGAGGTCTCGCCGCTCCCCCTCCCAAACCCAGCCTGCGTGGGATGGATCGCTCCCCACTAGGGGCATGCGGGCCAGTTTTTTTCTTTCGTCAATGCTCGGTGGAGACGATCTTTCCTAGAGGGCCTCCTTCCCCTGTAGCCCGTTCTGTCCATCTATCTCCCTTCACCCCACCCTCGCCCCTCTCCGCACCCTGTACAGGAGCGTTGCACCCGAACTGAAGAGCACGTGGCGGAAGGAGGAGGAGTGGACCCCTGGCAGCCCCCCACGCCGGGCCCCTGTCCATTTGTTTACTGTTTGTCCTCTCGTCGGCCACTGTACTACTTTGCTACTCTCTGGAAAAAGACGCCTAAGCTGAGGTCCAATTTCTCCAAAAAGCTGGAAGCAAAGGGGGCCAGTGACTAGGGCCGAGGGAACGGTTCCCACCCACAGGGGGCTGAAACTCCAGAAACCTCTGCAAGATCAGGGGTGACTGGAAGTTCAGGACCCCAGCTGAGGCGAAACTGAAATTCAACTTTGCCCCCATCCTCTTGCCAGAATCCCCACCAACACCAGGGAAGCTAACAGGTCCTTTGTTTTTACGTTGTGTGGTCTTTGGGAAATTTGCTTTGAGTATGAGAACAAAAAATTACTACTGTTTACTCAAGGGATTGCAGAAAGAAAAAACAGTCATCACTTTTTCCCTTCGTGTGTGAGTGAGTGTGTGTGTGTGTGTGTGTAGTTGTTAGGTTCATGGCTTGAACTGCAAAACGTCAGTTGTAACAATAAGAATTGCAGGGCCGCCTAGGTGTATTTTTAGAAGCTGCACTTTCTTGAGTTCTTTTCACACAAGGCTTGCTCTCTCATTAAGTCCCCATAAATAATTGTATTTAGAGAGAAGGAAACTATGGAAGCAGGAGAGAGATTGCTAAGATCTCCATCCCGCCAGCCTGGGAGCACAGTTTGCAGTGAAGTTCCTGGAAAGTGGCTGTGGGCTGAGAATTGTTTTTCCTAAATGCTCTGTTAGGTCCTCTCTGTCAAATGTCTATGAATAAAGCACCCTGGGAAAATCCTGATATCCGTGCGGTCTTATTTTATTTTTTGCACAGTGGTTGACTCAACTTTCAAGCGCTGGTAACAAACACGTCAACGGTGCTGTATTTTGGTGTGGGTTTTCTAAATAAAGAAAAGACTAGTGCATGTATTTGCTCTGCTTTCTGATCCGCCTGTTTTTTTCTATCAATGGGCACTGAATTCACTGGAATGCATCCGTCCTTTTCAGTTGCCGTTTTAGAGAGACAATTCCAAAGACCTAAGAATATAAAAAGTTTTTTTTTTTAGAGAACTAACCCTCATTTTTTAAGACGCAGGTGCCCATCTCAACTCCCGGTTCTGTAAAACCAAGCAAGAAGGTATAAATGATTGCAATGTGCAAAACAAAATAAAACAAAAGTTTTCTTTCCTGGACCACTTTCTTCCCAGGACCCAGGAGACACCAAATCCTGCCTTAATTTACCAAAACGCTGGATTGCTTAACCAGTACCAGTATCTCCATCTGGGGGTGACATCAGGTTTGGAATGGAAAGAATAAATAAATTCTCAGTCTTTAATTACTGCTTATTAGCAATTTCTTGGAGCAGGCAGCTGATTCTCCGCTTCTAAAAGCCTGAAATGAACCTTAACAGAAACTGAAATACAAAAAAAAGGGATTTTTTTCTCCTTTTCACAATCTGACATACTCTTCTACTCCCCCAAGTTGTCCACTGAGCCCCCAGAATTTAAGGTGTGATATGCTCCCCTGCATTAAGCTGAAGGAACATTTTTGCCCCAACCTTTTGAATTTGTCCCCTCCCCCACCATAGGCTCTATTATGGAATTATGTAATGATGTGTAAGGTGTATTAAGTAACATATCTTGCTAAACTTGTGTAAATCTTACCCCCTGGCACATAGTAGGAGTATGTCAAATAGCTACTGAATTAAGCTGTTAATGAAATGTAGCTTAATTGGCGACAATTTCAAAACAGAGCTAAGACTTTTTTTTTTTCAGGAAAATAGAAATGCATTTTATCTGGAAGGTATTAGGGTAGTACATTTGTGTTCCTCGATTTTTTTTAAGAAGTCCAAATCTAACAAATAGTTGAAAAACAAGTAAATGTGAAACATATCAAGTAAAAATAGCTACTGTCAAAAGCTGATTATTTTCCTCGAAGAATAGTAGAGAGTAGAAGAATAGTAAAATATTGCCTATTAAATAGTATGAGAAAAGGAGAGATAAAACAGTATTGGTCTTCAAGGAACTTATTTGCTGGAAAATTGACATTCAATTATGAAAAGGCAACTCAATAGATCAACAAATGATTTGAATCAAAGGAATGCTTGAGAAAATAGATGTTTTTTTTCTATTTTAGACCAGAGGAAATAAACATCCATGAAGCTCTGGGTTGGAGGGTATTTTTCAAGTTAATTAATCAGAACTTCCGGGGCCATCAACACAAACATCTTGGGTGAAGGGGAACTCACCACCTACCTCCATAAAGATAGGGATTTTAGCTACAGAATACTTAACACACAGTGGAATTCAACGTATATTGGTGAATGAACCAATAAAATCCTAAGCAGTTTATTCCATATTTGTACCTTTATTACATTTTTTAAAGTTACACAGAATGGATCTTCCTAGAACTTTCAACCCTTAGTCTTTTTCTTCCATTTGCAGCAAAACAGAGAAAACCTGTTTTGCTAATCCAGATAGGCTGTGTTATGCCAGAGTAAAAACAATTCCAAGTTTTAGTGGCCCATATGGCAAAAGTTGTTTTCTTGGTCATACTATGAGTCCATTGCGCATCAGCAGGTCTCTTCCATGTCTCCTTATTCAGGGTCCCAGGCTGACGGAACAGTTGCCATCTTGAAAGTTTCATGGGGCTATGGCAAAAAGAAAGATCAATCTGAAGTGTCTCATGCTGGCATTTAAGTGTTATGGCCATAAGTGAATCATGTTATTTGGACTCACAACTGTTGACCAGGACTAGTTGCCTGGCTCCACGGAACCATCACAAGGAGGCCAGATAGTGTAGCCTAGCACAGAGTTAGGATACACAGCTCCGAGGTCTCCCATACTCATACTGACCCTTCTGCACCCAGTAGCCTGCAGTGAAATGATCGTTTCCTGCCGCTTTGTGGCCCAGATGTTCCATTCTTCCAGGTAAACATTGCCAGAGAGGCCACCAGCCTTGTATGGAGGTATGTTGTGACTTCTTTCCCCATCTATTCTCTCTTCGACTCCAGCACTACGATCCCACCCATATCACCCCCCCACGATATGGTGCTCTATCAACTTTAAGTCACCCTTTATGTATTTACTAATATTATATATATTTAATTTTCTCAAGACTTGCTGTTCTGGAAAGGGTACAATGAACAGGAACTTTTAAGAACTGTAACCTGAAGATGTCATGATCATTATCAAAATTTGAGATTTGCTTTTGAGTAGTTCTCTTATTTTAAAACTTAAAATCGTAACAGAAATTCTCTTGGAATCATTCATTCATTCATTCACTTATCCATCTTTTTGTTCATTCAATAAATATTCATATCTATCTACTAGATGCCAGGCACTCTATTAAGAACCTGGGATATGGGGATGATTAAGAGTTCTCTTAAAGAAACACATTTTCCTATTGAACAAGTAGAAAAGTCACAGCACTCTAACAGAAGCACAAAGTGCTGTGAGAACACCGGAAGAAGCCAATCACCCTCTGGCAAGATTTGGGGAAAGTTCTTTAGAGGATTGAATTAAGTCTGGAGGAAAAGCAAGGCTCCTCTAGGCAGGAAAGGAAGATGGAGGGAAGACATGTCAAGCAGAGAGACCAGCATGAGTAAAGGCCCCAAGGAGGACAAAGCTTGTTGTGTAGGGAACTACACAGAATTCAGAGTGTCTGGAACATGGAGTCTTTGTGAAGAATGAAACCAAACAGTTCCAAATTGTGAAGGACCATGCAGACATGCTCTGGAGTTTAGACATGAACCCGTCCATCAGGGATTGCAAACTGTTATGCATACCTTGGACCAAGCATGGATATGAGGGAGCATAGCAAACCAAGACGAGATTATAAGCAGTGGTCAGAACAGTGGCAATCTGCAGAATATATTCTCTGTTTAAATGGAACAGTCAATGCCAAAGTCCAGTTCTTCAGTTTCTAAAAAGAAGCTAGGAATTCAGCTTACATAAAAAAAAATTAAGTGTTGAAAACTTATATTTTAAAGTACACATATGAGGGGATATGTCTAGTGGTCGAACTGAGGTTAAGGGGTGTCAGTCAATGTCTCCTATGTGACAGAACATTAGGAGTCTCAAGTCCCTATCTCATATAGATAGAAAGTCATTAAAGATGGTAAGGATGGAAGTAACACCATCAAATCTCTTTAGAAAACACTCTGGTGGTAAAGTGGGCAGAAAAAATTAATGTGGGAGGCTACTATAGTTGATAATCTGTAACCATCTGAGGGATTAGGAGAAGCAACACTGCCTGGTTTATAGTGCACAACCCTCCATTTAGTATCTAAGCGGGGCCTGATAAACATTTGCAGAGCTAATGAATGAAAGAGAAGAAAGCTCATATTTTAGAAGGGAGAGCACATTTTCCAGTGCCCCTTATGCCATATGCTTCCTTTGCTACATTGTTTATTTTTCACGAACACAATGATCTTATATTGATTAATATAAATTTCTGTATCTATGGTCAATACTGGTTTTTAAAAATTCATAAATCATTCAGTGCAGGACAAAAAGATCCGTACTGCGTCAGAATACCTATTGTCTAAGACTAAGCTTACTGACCCTGCCATGAGGAATGTTGGCTAACCAGATAGTCCTTGTACCAGACCCTAAACCGCCGAACCCTCAGGCTTTTTTGTCACCCTGCACTAGACCCATTGGTATAGTTCATGGATGTTTCTAGTGAAGGCCACACTCCGTTACTGCCTATTAGACTATTGTATAGTCACTGTCCTAAGACTGTCTTGACAGGATTAATTTTTTTCAATTTAAAAAAATGAGTTCACTCAACAATTCTCAGTTCCTCTCTCGCTTTGAAACCATACTTGCCAGCCACTCCACAGTCTATGATCTGTAAGAACATCCCACACTCTCAAAAAAAGAACTCCCCTAAAGTGATAAAAACACTGGGTATTCTTTCAAAGGGTATGCTGCTGACTAGTTTCTTGTAGGCTATGTTCCCATGGGCACATCCATGTTCTTAAAGCCACTCGTTTAATGAAAAAGCGAGTCTTTAAATTCTTAACAACTTGGCTCTACAAATTGTAATTTTTTATTCAACTTTCTTGAGGTATAATTTATGTACAATAAAATTCACCCATTTTACATGTCCCATGGATTTTGAATACAAAAGAGCAGCATGGGCAAATTGTACTATTTTAAGTGAATTTCAGAAACCTTGGGTGTCAGACTGCCTGATTTATAATCCTCATTCAACTAGTTACTGCCTGCTTGACCTTGAACAACTCTCCTGATTGTCTGCCTCGATTTATTCATCCATATTATGGGCATAATAGTTGTACCCACCTCCTGGAGTTAACAGATGCACAGTGCTTCAATACAGACAATACTCAGTAAAGACTAACAACGTTTTTTTTGTTGTTGTTAATATTATTGTTGTCATTAGTATTCTAATGGAAAAGAAATCCTGGGATCTAAATAAGAATAGAAAATGAATTGACTGGAATGTAAATGGGGCAGAAAAAAGTACCTCCTGGGTATCTTGCTGGTGTGCCAAGAGTACACAAAGCCAGAGAATAATTATAGCCTCTATTTCTGGAATATTTATTTTTTACTGAAAGATTTTGGAAGAAATTAGTTTTCTATTAAAACAGTTACACAGACAATGGAATTGAATGAAGCATCTTGGATGACTTTTTAACAAAAACAAGCCTTCAAAGACCTTCTGGTTACCTGAGACTTGGAGCAGAAGGGTGGATACTGTATTTGTTTTCTTCTCTGCTTTCTGTCCTCTGCTGCTTTGGTGGAAATGTTAGCAAGTAAGAGACCATACACAGCA